ACCGGGCCCGGCGCCGGCGGTCGCTGCGGAGGGGGGGGAACGTGCTCTTCCGTCGGTTCCTTAACACGGGCGCAGCCGCCCCCAGCAGCTCTCCACCTTCGCCCTGACGCTCTACAAGCACCGTGCTCGGGTGGACGGGCAGGAGGTCCTCGTGGGTAAGTGGGGGGGCCCTGCTGGGTGCTCCGGGGACAGGCCGGTGCCGGCGTGTGCGGAGAGGGAAGAGCAACGGTGCTGTCGGCATATCAGCAGCACACGGACCCAAAAAGCATGGGCTGCCAGACAGTGGTGTGTAGGCAGGAACATGGGGGACTGGAGGGCTCACAGCGTAGTTGGGGCGCAGGGACCTGCAGAGCTCATCCCGAGCACCCCTGCTCAGGCAGGGACGCTGCAGCCAGCTGCCCAGGACCAGCACCAGGAGACTTCTGGACGTCTCCGGGGATGGAGACTCCACAACCTCCCTGGGCAGCCTGTGCCGGTGCTCAGTCGCCCTCGCAGTGGAAAAAGGGTTTCCCTGTGTTCAGAGGGAACCCCCCGTGTTCCAGTCTGTGCCCGTTGCCTCTGGTGCTGTCACGGGGCACCACTGGAAAGAGCCTGGCTCCACCTTCTCTACACTCTTCCTTCAGGTGTTTATGCTCAGTGATGGGATCCCCTGAGCCTTCTCTTCCCCAGGCTGAAGAGTCCCGGCCCTCTCAGCCTTTCCTCACAGGAGATGCTCGTGTCCCTTCACCATCTCCGTGGCTCTTTGTTGGACTCTCTCCAGTATGTCCATGTCTCTCCTGTACACAGGAACCCAGAACTGGACCCAGTGCTCCAGGTGTGGGTTCGCCTCTAGTTGATGTTCAGTAAACTCAAATAAAAGATGGGGGGTTTTTAACCAGTAAGTGAAATGACTATAAGGCAACTTGTGAAGGTATGGATACATATGTCAGTGACTTACTTTTAACGTGGATTTAGTACTTTAAGTAACTTGCTCTAGTCTGAGCAATTCATCTGGCCTGTGTCATACAAGAGTTCAGGGTCTTCTATCTTCTCATTTTATGAACATAATGCTGATCATACAAGCTGCTTTGCAGAGAAGACCTGTCATGAAGTGTGATTTGTAAAGACAGGTGGTTTGAACTGAACACTTACAATTGTGCAAAATTACCACTTCCCTTGCTAGTGTATGTGATGAGCTATTCTTAGTAGCCATTGTCAAATTCCTTGTGGTAGAGTTAGGATTGCATTAAAATGTGGTGTATTTCTTTACTCTATGAATCTTATTTTTCCCAAGGATTTTAAGGTGGATAAATTCCTGTGTTCTGGAGTGACATGGGGTATGACAGGCAAGATCTGGAGGATTTAGTAATAAAAGCAGCAGTGTTTTTCAATAAGCTGTGGCAAGTTCTCTCATGACAGCTGCCACATTATTTGGAAGTTAATTTAGGGACATTCAGTAGGTCATGGTCACTTTTTTCCTTGTAAGTGAGGATTCTGGAATGACACATTAAAAGGATCAGGCAGTTTTAGAAGCTAAGTGAAACAACCCCAAATGAATGCCAGTGTGGTCTGATGAGTACTTGTCTATATTTTGGGCAGTTGAAGAAGTCACCAGCCTGTGAGTCTCATACAGTGTCCAGTCAGAAACTAATTTCAATGCAGAGCAAGTGCTAAGGAAAGTGGCTTATTAGGCTTTGGGTGGAGTAGCATACTTCAGTCTATCTGATACAAGTGTGCCTATGTCTGGTCGTTCTTAGTTAAAGCTGCGTAAATTCATACAGCAAATAAGACCCAAATATCAGCTTCTAAAGCCAGTAAGAGGAGAGGGGGAGATCTCTACCTGAGAGACACAAAGAGAAAAAGGCATTAAAATATTGATGACTGTTCAGGTCTGCACCTAGTCTACAAGGTACTTAATGAATTGGGACCTGTCTGTCTCAGGCTGGCTTACTGACCCTTCATCATTTTAGAACGAGCCGTGCCCCTGGAAGGAGCAGAGTTAAACTGTCTGCGAAAGGAGATGGAACAGTTCTTGTGGTGGCACCCGGCTGTTTGTCACGGTGTCAGAAATCAAGATGTTTAGATTTTGTTTCCTGTTGCCATCTCTAGTGGCAGAGTACCACATCGTCATCAGTCTTTGCGCTTTTTACTGGCTTTGTCTTACTGTCCGTTATAAGCCGTGTCTACCGATGGCTTCTCTTTTGCTAATGCCTATAGCAGAGTTCAGTGTCTGCACAACTAAGCCTAGCTAAGAAGAGGTCCTAGTTTTGGATGATCTCTTAGCCCTGGAATGTTTCAGATTGATGAGATTAAATCCGATATGTGACCCTGAGTAAATGGACTGGGTTTAAGTTGTGAGGAAGAACTTGGAAAGTTGGTCGTTCTAAGTGTGTTTTTTGTGTCTTACAGACTTCTGGGACACAGCTGGGCAGGAGAGGTTCCAGAGCATGCATGCGTCCTATTACCACAAGGCTCATGCCTGTATCATGGTAAGGGTAGTGTCCAGCTGTGATGTGGTGGAGTTTTGACTCACAACAGTCCCTGCTGACACTAGGCCTGTATGTTTTTATGATTACGCTGCCTTGTATTTCTTGTCTCTTCTAGTAGTTCAAAAAACTTTCCTATATTGTTCTTTGTTCTCTCACCAGACAAAACCAGTGTAGCTGGATATGTTTAGCTCTCTTCTGTCTTTCCTGATAGCACTTTTACTATATTCCCTGGCTTTCCTGTCTTCTGAGTTTATTTACTCTTGTCACTGTCTTTCCAGTCAGGTGGTACGTACAGCGGAATATCCTTGTTAGAAGTTGTTGTGTCAGAGGTGGTGTGAGGGAGAGGGCGTTCCTCTCTTGTTCTGCAATCTGACTATGCATTATGTAGTACGAAACTGTTCTGATACATTCTGCAGGGGTGCCACATAAGACATTCTTCTCTGGTCTTCTGTCCTTTCTATTTTGCTATACTTTGTGCTTCCTATTTATTAGGTCAAATCAGTCTTGTTTCCTGACTCTTAATCTGCTTAAGTCTCTTGATTTGTACTGTTGCTCTAACTTTCCACTATTTCTTATCACTTGTGAACATCAGTCAACTTCACTGATATTTTAATTGTTAAAATAGAGAAGCCTCACATCTGACCTGACTTAGCAGAACGGGTCTTTCCCGCTGCCATGGGTGGTAGAGTGCTTGTCATGGTATGAAATAAGAACGTAAAGGAAAATGAGGGACTGTTTCCTGCACCATGCGAAAAAACAGGCTGGCTGCACGTTTCAAGGCTTGCTGGATATTCTCCCTTTGCTCTTTCATCCTAACAAAGGCCAGACTCCTTTGTTGATATACTCCTGAGACAATTCTGGATTCTGTACTTGTGTTTGGTGCAGTGGGTTGGTCAGGAGCTGTCCTGCTGTTGATCCCATGACAGCTGGTTCTTTTTTGGAAGGTGTTTGATGTGCAGCGGAAAGTCACCTACAGGAACTTGAACAGCTGGTACAAGGAGCTGAGAGAATTCCGCCCGGAGATCCCTTGCATTGTGGTGGCCAACAAAATTGATGGTGAGTGTATCTTCTTTCAACCTCTCAGGATTGTGATGTGATTCTCTTCTGACCTGGCTGAGGAAGAATGTCATCCATCTGTTAGGTCCAGATGAGTTGTTGAGTAATAAGTCCCTCAGGGCTGTATTTTACCAGACAATAGCTGGGTCCTCTACTGACATTTCATGCTGTCTTACAGGCTCTTGCCCTTTTTTTACTAGCAATTAAAAATACAAAACTGATCCATTTAAAGTTCACTCAAGCGATGTCCTTCCAATTCTGTCCTTACCATTGCCCATTTCATCCAGCAAGAGCCCAAAAGCTGACTGGAGCAGTACCTAGTCAAAAATTGCAGGATGTCTTTCTGCAAAAGGAGCATAACCCATGATGTGGCTTCCCCAGTTACTGCCTTTGTATTGCTAATTCTGCCTGCAGGTTACCATGGGGCTCCTCTGTGCTGCGTGTCTAAACATACCTGCTAGCAGAATTGTTCACCTTCCTCTGCAGAGGAACCCAGCTAGGCACTCGCGGTTGCTGTCATTTGGGTTGTGATCTCTGAAATCACTGCAGCTACGACCAGGTGTGTCACCTGCAGAAGGTGTCTGCGCTCCTGCTGTAGTCTGTGGAAGTTCCTTTGGTTCAGGGGTGTGGTTTAGGACACGATTGATCTTGCCTAATAAAAACCTTTCCTATGGGATGGCCAAGCCAGCCGTGAATGCACAGATTGCACGGACTGTACAGGAAGTCCGAGGCAAAGGGACGTGGTGTTGGCAGCCGTACTGTAGACACAACCTCTGCGTAGATGAACCCTGCCCTTAGTGTGTGTGTGTGGCGCTGCTCCAGGAGTCCTCTCCCTGCACCTAGGTGAGGCAGGGATCGGCCCACAGCTCCCAACACGGGCCCAGTCTGCACAACAGCTGATTCAGCTCCCTGCATGGAGGCTGGAGCGGCTGCCTGGGGGGGGCTTGCTGGAGTCTGAACTACCTCAGCTGTGGCTTCTGTGGGAGCAGGCGGGTCATTCGGAGCCATCCTCCTGTGCTGGCACGCAGGCTGTCAGCACGTCCCGCAAACATTGTTCCAAAACTGCAATAAAGCCTCTGGCCTACTGAGAGGTTGGGGTAGCTGGACCTGCCTGCCTGCTAAATAAAAATATATAACAGTTGAGTCATTTGTATACTGTGAGCGTGCCCTTGACTTGCAGGAATGTAGGTAACATGGCATAAAGGCATGGGGAGTTCTGGTTAAAAAGGCCAAATGGGAGGGAGAGGCATGACTAGTGCTGTCAGTGGTGTCCAGGTCATGTGGGCAACAGCAAAAATCACGGGGATGTGCCTGGCAAACATTGGTAGTTGCCACACAGAAGAGGAACTGGCATGTTCTAGCTGCAAAGCATTATTTATTTATGGCACTCAGAACCCATCTGTAGTTTAGTCAAGCACTGTGGATAAACCAACACAAGCTCTTCGTGTTTTCTTGTCAGTGGTTTGCTGATGCTGTTGCTTTTAAAACCCTGTAGCCCTTGGGGAGGACTCTCCTAGCTCTGCACTACAGTGAGGAGGCCCTGACAGCTACACCGGGCTCTGGCCTCCATCCGTTCCACCACTCCTGCATGTGTTGGCGTTCTGCCTACAGTGGTATCTTACTGACCACTTCTTTTTTTTGCCCCCAGCGGATATGAAGGTAACCCAGAAAAGCTTCAACTTTGCCCGGAAGTTCAGTTTGCCCTTTTACTTTGTGTCTGCTGCGGACGGCACCAACGTAGTGAAGGTAAAACATGGCTGTTTGGCTCAGCATCTGAAAGACCCCCATGCAGCCCAAGGACATGGAGAGGGCTGTAGGCACAGAGAGCAGAAAATGGGCTCATACCTCTGCTTGGCTGCTTGTGAGGGCCTGGCAGCTATAGGTAGTCACAGAGGTTGTTTTTTTTCTTGGGGTGTGGGAACAGTTTCTTTATGTTGCAGAACCCCAGTGCCCTTTAGAGTGACAAGCATTCTCCTTCTCATCAGCTCTTCAATGATGCCATCAAACTGGCAGTTGCCTACAAACAGAATTCAGGAGATTTCATGGACGAGGTCATGCGAGAACTGGAGGTAAGAAAGGCTCTACTTCCCGCACTCCTCCTAAGTCATTGGCAGCTCTGCTCTTTTTCCCGTCAGGGAAAGCAGAGCCTGTGGCAAAGGGTGAAACTGGAGCATGGAAAGATTTGCCTTATTGCGGTGACCCCACGGGGTTTGTGTGCTGCTCACGTCTCAGTTGGAAGGGCTGAGGTGGTGACCCTCTGAGGAGCCCGCGCTGCCCTAGACTGAATTTGAAAGAACCACAGCAGAGTATAGCTGTTACTTTCATGCTTCTCAGCAGTTCCTTGTCCTGCTCCTTTCCAGAGCTTTGACCTGCAGAAGGAGAGTGAGACTTTGTTGGACAAAGAGGAGAGCTGCCCTGAAGAGAAGCCCCCATCTGCCTAAGCCCCGGACCCCGAGTCTGTTTTTCCCTTTGCTCTAGGCTTCTGGGGCTAGCTAGGGCTGGCCTTCACAGAGGAAAGTGAGTTTTCTCATGCCCCAGAACTCCAGCGATGGGCAGTGGGGCCTCTCCCCTTCTTGTGGGAGACTGTCCGGGCACAACACTGCCCGCCATGCTCAGGGAGAGGGCGAGAGCACCCCACGGCCGTAGTTACCGCATCCTTCGGGGCAAAGCGTGCCAGGAGAGCTGAGCCATGCCTGGACTTGCAGCGGAGGGTCCTGCCCAGCTGCTTCAATGGGACGTACTGGAGAAAAGAAACACTAAAGAATTTTTTTATAAAGCTTTAAGCACTTTTGTTAGCAGGCAGTCCAGTTACTACACAGTGCCATCCCCCACATTGCTCTCACAGCCTCATCACTGCTGCCTCTGTCCAGTCCATGATCTCTGCTGCAGTTTCTTTGGGTTTCCTTCCCCGTTCTGTTGTGGAGCAGCCAGATCCAGACTTCTAAACATGGAGGTTTCTCCTTTCAGATCCACTAGAGCTGAATCAGGTGGACTCTCACACCCAGGAGGTTTCTCCTGTTCCGGCCTGATGGAGGCGGCTGTGGCTGTTCCCAGGGTGTGTTCAGGAGACTGACGGTGCATTCCGAAGGGCCAGATACAAACACACACACACAGTTAATGTGAACAGCAAAACAGGTCGACACAGACAGCAATGTCTTTACCCACATGTATGTAACCACCCCTTACACAAGCGCAGGCCAGTCCTTTCCTGCTTTTCCAGGTGACCAGGATGTGAAGTTTTAGTGAAACACAAACACACCTTTGCTCCCTGGACTCAAGCACAGCACATGCAGAGATTCCTCATGTAACAGCATGGAACTTAAGTCCATGTGATACTCGTGGCTGGGTGTCAAGCCCCTTACCCAGCCATCCGTGTGAACCAGATCCGTGTCTCCCAGGCTGTGTGAGTCCAGTTTCAAGTTCACTGGTGCACTGTACACACACACTGGGATCCCATCAGTATCCACCCTAAGACCCTCTGTGTTCCCAGTCACTGTCCCCAAGACCTCTTGTCCCCTGTGACCAGTGGTCCATTCTTCCACTGCACCCTCCCCTCCCCTCTGACCAGGCTTGGGCTCAGCCCTGTGGAGTGACTCTTTATTTTTGGCCCCGCTGTTGATCAGCCCCAGCGTCCCTGACAGACCTCGCCAGAGCACCAGCCCTGCTGGCCGCCGGCCATGCCTGCACCCGCGGCACTCACAAGGGCTCAGGGGTGCTGAGCAGGCCCCACGCTGCTCCTGCCAGGCATGTCTGCGCCAGCTGCAGGGCCCTGCACGGCCCGCCCCAGCCCTGCCCTGGCCGGGGATGGTGCTGCAGCTCCAGCTCTGCTCCCACCCAGGGGGGGCACCGCCTGCCCCAGCTGCAGGGGGGGGTCTCGGGACACGGGGGCAGGCCCTTCGCTTCTTGACCATGGTTTGAAGGGAGCTGTTGTGGCTCTGGAGATGGCGCTGCATCACGGTCCCACCCTAACCAAGTCGGGGTTTCTGTCAGGAGGCCCCAGCCTGGGCGTCCAGCTCCTCGTGCAGAGGCGTCGCGGGGTCAGAGCTGTGGGGCAGCTCGAGGGCCGAGCTGGGTTAGTGGGGGCAGGGATCGGGATGGGGTTCCAGCGTGGAGCTGCGGAAGGGGCTGGAGCAGCGAGCGGCTAGGAGCAGCGGCAGCAGGAAGGCTTCGGAGTGCAGTTTGGTACGCAGCAGGGCTGCAGGGCAGGATCCCTGCCCTTCCTGAGCTGGCTCTCCCCAAAACTCATGTGCTGTTCAAAAAGCACTTTCTGCAGCTTGATCTCCTTCAGGACCTGCAGAACCTCCGGCCCCACGCTGCCCTGCAGCAGGTCATAGTTCTCAGCTGGGTCTGAGTCCAGGTCAAAGAGCAGTGGGGGCAGGTGAGGGGTCAGCGGCGTCAGCCCGTGGCAGGCCTGGTCTGGGGTCGTATCGCTGTGAAAGGAACCTGCAAGAGACCCCCAGGTACAGCTTGGTTTCTCCTCTTGGAGCTTTGGACAGCAAAACCACACGGGACTTCACCAAGTTGGGCGTGTGGAGGGACGGCAGCAGCACTGACCTTGGGTGAAGTAATGGGCCTTGTACTTGCCCAGCCTGACAGCGAAGGGGCCGTGCAGTGGGTCGGGGGACGGCGGGTAGAAGAACATCGTCCGACGGGGACTCTGTGGGGAGCAGCAGAGCTGAGCTCACCTGTGTAGCCAGGAGCCTGAAGAGCCTGGACACGAGCAGCAGAGCCTGCAGGGACTCGCAGGAACCCCGGTGCTACAGCTGGAAGGTGGCTGGAGGGGGAAGCTGACGAGCAGCAGCACCCTGTCTGCTCCAAGTTACTGGGCTCTGTCCACCCACTGCAGCCGCGGGGGTTTGGCTGGGCCACACGTTGCAGTTGTCAGAGCAGAGCAGCCTGGGGGAGCCCAGGAACTCCCAAGGCATGACCGAAGCCAGACAAAAGGTCCCAGCTCACGGACATCCCCAACCGCCAGCTGGTCCCACTCCCCAGGCACGCAGCTCCAGCCCCGCACCCGGCCTTCATGCACAGTGCTGGCCGAACCAGCCGCAGGACTCACCTTCCCTGACCCAAACAGCACGGGGCTCAGGTCATAGCCATCCAGGGCAACTCTGGGAAGGGCTGCTCCAGCCAGGGCAGCCAGCGTTGGCAGGATGTCCAGGGTGCTTGCCAGCTCATGCGTCACTCCTGTCACCCACCACAGCAAGGCACAAGGAAAGGTTCAAGCACCTGATCCCACTCCCATCCCTGCAACCCTAATTTCTCTCCCACCCTCTGCTTGTCCCAGGGCAGGCGAGCTACCGCGCCGCCTCGGCTGGCATCAGCAGCAGAAGGCACGAGCACTGCCCAGTCTCACCCGGAGCGACACGGCCTGGCCAATAAGCCACTGCTGGTTCCCGCATGCCACCTTCGTACGTTGTGCCCTTCCCACACTTGAGAAGGCCAGAGCTGCCTCCGCGAGCCATCCGCATGGTGGAAGGGCTGTGAGAGAGAAGAGCCACCGACCATCAGCGTCGCAAGTTCAGGCCACCCCCTCCCCAGTGCTGCCGACGGGGCCACGGTGAGAGACACGGTGCCGGCGTGTGACACTGCCATGCTCCCCAGCCTTGGGAGGCGGGAGGCAGGCGGAGAAGCCAAGGGGTGCGAGACACCTGAGCAGGGCACCAGCCCAGTGCCACTCACACACGAGGGGAATCGGGGTGTATTTGGGCTGCTGCACGCTCCTGGCCTGAACCCTGCGAGGGCTCTGCCCGTAAGGAAGGACACAGCTGAGTCACAGGAACAGGGACTGCACTGGGTCCTCTCCAGAGTAGCGTCCACCTCTTTCCTTACTGCAGGTCACCAGGGTCTCACCTGGCAATGCCTCACCACATCCCTTTTGCCCCAGGTCCCCCAGGCCACGGCAGCAGAATCTTATCAGTGATGAAATCCCCGCTGCTGAGCCCACTCACCCATTGTCAGAGGTGAAGAACACCAGGGTCGAGTTTGCAAGACCATTTTCCTGCAGCGCCTCCAGCAGCTGTCCCACCGAGCCGTCAAACTCCAAAAGTGCGTCACCAAAGGGCCCACGCCGCGACTGCCCTGCGTACTCCTGGCTTGAGAACTGGGGGTAGTGTGTGTGCTGGAGGAAGAGCAGAGGAGATGCCTGTGCACAATCCAGAGCTGCACCTGGTTCCCAGTTCACCCAGGGACAGTGAGCACCCCAGCTGGGACACGGAGATATGTGACAACAGCCGTGAGAGGAGAGGAGGCTTGTCCCCAAGCTTCAGAAGCATCTCTCGGCAATGGCACAAAGGAGCTGAGCCCCAGGAGAGGATGAGGAGCCCCAGAACGGGAAGTTTTCCCAAGTGGGCTCCTGGCCCAGAGACATGGGCAAAGCTCCAGGAAGAAGCAGCCCGAGAACATTATCAGATCAGTGCTGCCATGAGACGTGGGCGTGGGAACAGCAACCCCGGGTCATCCAGGAGCAGGTATGACTGCTCAGCACAGTGCTGGGGCTGCAGGGGCTGAGACCCCTGCACTCCCCACAGGACACCCACCCTCGGCCCGGAGCAGCCCTCCCCCTCTCCTACATGGGAAGCATAGTAGAGCAGGAAGGGGAGGCCTCGTCGGGCACAGTCAGCGATGAAGTCCTGGGAGAATTTGTTGTAGAGTGGCACCAGATCGGGGAAAGAGACCGGCTGCTGCACAATGCTCTGGTTCCAGAGCAGCGGGACTGGCACTATGCCTTGGTCACAAGTGCCAAAACACTTGATATCGGGTGGGAAGCAGGTGAGATTCTGGCAAGGGCCCTGGAGAGAACAAAAAACACTCTGTCTTCTACCTGTGCTGCAGGACAGTGAGGGGAAGGGAGCAGAGTCTCACAGCAGCCCACCACCAGGTCCCACAGGCACACTTTGGGTGGCCACTCCCAGAAGCACAGGGGTCTGTCCCTGGACCACGCTGCCCCATCATCATCTTCTCCTGGCAGCAATTCGGATGTTTCTTTGTAGCCCAGGTGCTGACCCTCCCTCCCTTGACAAATGGCGTATGTTCCCCTGCACCCACATTCTGCAGAACTGCCCTATCATATGAGCACCTCGGGAACTGGCTTTCCCCACCAGCACCCATCTCCCCGACCTGCAAACACCCACACCCAGGCAAGCACCACGGCCCATGTGCTCTCCAGCAAGCTTCACCTCTCAGACGCTCTCCCAGACCGACCCAGGACACCCCTCACCTGGTCGTGGGAGTAGGGCACCCCCAAGAAATGGTCGAAGCCCTGGTGGATGGGCAGGAAGGAGCCATTAACCCCCAGGCCCAGGTGCCACTTGCCAACCATGGCTGTGGCATAGCCCTCAGCCTTCAGCACCTCTGCAATGGTGACCTCTGACAGCGGCAGGCCTCCCCGTGAGTCTGGGCTGAACACACCGGGGTACACCCCAGAGCGCATCTGGAACCGGCCCGTCAGCAGCGCTGCCCTACAGGAGAGAGCGGAGAGAGAGGAGGGGCGTCACACCGGACGCAGCACGGGCCAAGGTGCTCAGCCTCCTCAGAGGGTGCCCCGGGGGTTCCTCGGCACTGGCAGCTTGGCCCTGCAGTCTTATGGCCGCCGCTGCCACCTCCCTGCCCGCTGGGATGCTCGACTGGTCCCTTCGCCGAGCAGCCGCACCTTCGGGCCTCCTGGGACAGGGCAGGTTTGTCACCCCTCCGTTCCTCCCAGCACCGCAGCTCCCCAGCTGGGTGCCAACGCCGCCTCCACCCCGGCCCCGGGGCCCTGCAGCACCGGCCAGCGGGTGGGACGGGAGCAGCGGGGCACGCACCGGGAGGGGCTGCACACCGGGGAGCTGCTGTAGAAGTTGGTGAACCGCAGCCCTTGAGAAGCCATCCGGTCCAGGTTGGGCGTGGCAGAAGAAGGGTGCCCGTAGCTCCCCAGGTCCCCGAAGCCCAGGTCGTCCGCCAGCACCAGGACGAAGCTGGGGGG